TAACAGTGCTTTTTTTTTTTTGCTTTGTTTGGAAAGTGACAGTAGTCAAGTGCATGACTCTGGAGCCGGACTGCCTGAGTTTAAATCCTATTTTTCTCATTAGAGCTAGTTCCTTGGGTGAGTTACTTAACTTCTCTGTGCTTCAGTTTCCACATCTGTGAATTGTACCAGTACTTACCTGAGTTTTGTTACTGATATTAAATGTGCCTGGCACTGGGTGCTACTCAAGTATCTGTTAAATACTTTTATGGGGGATGGAGGACAGATTTTAAATAGTTTCCCATAGCCAACATTCTAGCTTTCCAGAATATCAATATTTTGTTGTGGTAGTGGTGGTCTTTTTTCCTAGAGAAACAATGCTTTGCCAGAAGGGAAACATTTTTCCCTACTAGCTCCCTACTTCCACCCTTTCTCCCACTCTTCTATATAAGTGCCTTAGAGAGACCCTGGTCACCCTTTTCTTAGCTCCAGCAAGAATCATAGACCAAAGGTTTTGCTGTCATCACTTTAAAAACAGTGTAGGTTATTTTTTCTTTCTTTCTTTTTAATTTTTTTTAAAATTTTTTTGAGACAGAGTCTCACTCTGTCGCCAGGCTGGAGTGCAGTCGTGTGATCTTGGCTCACTGCAGTCTCCAACTCCCTGGTTCAAGCGATTCTCCTGCCTCAGCCTCCCGAGTAGCTGGAATTACAGGCATGCGCCACCATGCCCAGCTAATTTTTGTATTTTTAGTAGAAATGGAATTTCACCATGTTGCTCAGGGTGGTCTCAAATTCCTGACCTCAGGTGATATGCCTACCTCAGCCTCCTAAAGTGCTAGGATTACAGGCATGAGCCACCACACCCAGCCTGGTTATTTTTTTCTTTAGTGGAATTCAGCCAATTGAAGCTAACACATGGCATGAACACTCTGGAAAGGTGGGTTTGGATCTTTCCATTTGTTCTCTTTAGCATTGACTTTTGCTTTTCTAGTCCCTGCTAGTGTGTTGGAATCTTACCCCATACAGATGCAAAACTGTGAACCAAGAAGTCAAGATCTCTATGCTTAGCCAATAATTGGTTGTTTTCTCTTTCAGAGTTCCTCATGCCCATGGGGTAAATTCATATTTCATCCATAAGTGTGACCATTACAGAAGTATCTAGGACTGCTACTGTCTGTATTTTTGTCCTTCAGCATATCCCAGACTAAACTTACTCTTAAAATATGTTTGTCTGACCTTCGGGTTCCTTCCTATGGTTGATATTAAGCCTTTCTTCTACTCTTAAAAGAGAAAATGGGGGGTGGGGGGGAAAGAGACCAAAAAGGCCACCCTTTCAGGTATCCAGCATTTTTCTAATTTAGCCCTACTGAAGTTTCTTCAGTAATTAATTGGCTGTTTTTCAACCTCTAAACTGGCTAATATTATAGCCTTCAATTGTACTTTTAAAGCCCTTTTGTTATTTTGACATATTGTGTCTGTTGTGTATGGAAAAGTAGCAGGTTCAGTATGAAGATAATATAGTATTTTATCTCTTAAAACAGGCAGCCAGCAAATGAACTTTCTGCACTGGTCAGAATTTCCATCATTTCACTGTTAATGAGAAAAGTGCAGTTCTTTAGCTACCTTGAAAGTTAAACATGTCCTAAGTCTTTTGGAAAAAGACATACATATTAGAAAATCTCAGAAGGATGCGTCAGCCTAACTGACCCCACATTGACTCCATTTTATTTGCTGGCCAAATCTTGTTTCTGACTTTCCTGGCACAGCCCTGGACATGCTTCTGTATCATAGGACTTGTTCCCCAGTACCTTTGCTACTTCCTTCAGGTGCATTCCTAGGAAAGACTTGCAGTGGGGTTTGCTGTTTGCCAGCACTCCTGCGGGTTTGGGGTTATGGAAGCCAGGTTGGGCTCCCAGACACTCGGCTCTCTCTTTGTGGAGGCAGGGACAGCAACAGCACCTAACAAGTAGGGATGATCACATTGTATTCAGAAGCCTGGTGGAGCTCTGTAAACCCAAATTTCTAGCAGTCTTCTACATGATGCCCTGTAACAGAAACTGTCCTTAACCCTGAATCATCTGAGTTCAGCTAGTATAAAAATCCAAATCTGCTCTTATACATAAACAGTTAGGAGTAGAGGAGACTTGGCTTCCTTTGGAAAGTCAGGATGATAGCTTCATCCCATTCTGGTTTTTGTGATTAATTGTGACCTGCAAAGGGGTTTACTACTCTAGCAGGAACTTTGAATTTCCTATATCCATTTCTCTCTGGTTAGCAGACAGAGGAAATATCATTGACTTTTGGCTTCCTGGCAGATGTCTCATTTGCCTTGTCATTTGTTGATTCCTTTCCCTGATCTCTGTTTGGTGTGATAGTGTACACCAAAGCTGAAAACTGCAGGGCCACATGTACACTTGTAGGTACCTATGCTGTGATTACCAAAAGGCTCAGAAAGCCAGTTTTCTAGTGAAATTGGCTAACATTATAAGAAATGCTTTCATTGAGAAAGAGAATGGGTCAGGGGAAGGTGGAACTTAAAGGAAGATGGAGTGTTCTTGAATTCAGATTCCTGAATTAGCCATTTATAGTTTCATGGGAAGACAAAAAAAACAAAAACAAAACAAAACAAGCAACCCCAAAGGTGTTTATCCTTTCAAGTATCCAGACATCTTTATTTTAGAAAGTTTCTGCTTGATGGTAAAATAAAGCTAGGACCTTAGAGCAAGTCTCAGACTCACCATGGCTGTTTCTTAACACCAGTCTACCTTAAGCAGCAGGTATCAATTTAGTGGAAATATAAAGGTATTGATATGTAGTGGAGGCTGCTCTGCACTTGGAGGTGGAAATATTAAATTTAAATTCCAACTTTGCTTTTAACATTGCAACTTTGAGTAAGTCTTTTAACCACTGTCTCCTGTTTGTATGAGCACAAGGGGTTAGATAGTAAAACTGGCCTCACAGGAGTGTTGTGAGAATTGAATGAAATAATGTATGTGAAAATACCAAGTACAATGCTTGCTTAGAAAGTAGAATTTTGTTTTGCTGTCCCCTCCCCCGCTATAGTTGGCAGGGCAAGGAGAGGCAGTATATTCGTCCATCAATATTGTAGATGCAGTTGTTCCCAGATTTTTTGCTTTTAGGCAAAACTTTGTATAGATGACTTACATACCCTCTTACAGTGATGCTTAATAAAACAAAACTACCATGCTTTTATAATGGAATGGTAAGCTCAAACATTTTGCTGGTAGTATAAAAACTAAGTGCCTGTGATTATATATACAGTAACTCCTGAAGAATCAATTATAATCTCAGCAACCTTGCTCTTTGACCATTCATTCTAAAGCTTGGAGAAGTTAATGAGAACAGATAATAAGAGTGCTAATGCAATTGGAAGACTTTTTTTTTTTTTTTTTTTAAACAAAGTAAGGGATACATTTTTAAATAAAACATTGCATTTTGGTAAAAAACACAGATTATGAGAACACATTTGAGTTAGAGGAACATCATATTAATTCCAAGAACAAAAAGCATGGTGAAGAAATTTTGTAACCATGCACATGCTCTGTTCTCATGAGTTAAAAAGAATTTTCCTCCTATAGAGACTTGTTATTTAAATGTGTGTCACATGTAAATAACAGTCTAATGAGCGCAATATAGAAGGAGAAATATGTAAGCAAGGGAAAGCGGGCGTTGTGTTTTTCCATCTATTTCAGTTCTTGAGTCTTTCCTAACCTATAGTGTATCCTGTTTCTCCCTGGCTAGATTTCTTAAAGTTTCTGCTTATTCATCACTCAAATACCTTTCTCAAGTTGTAGCTACTTCTGTGTGCAGTGTGTAATAGCAGATGTTCTCCCGATCTAGATTTTGTTGCTCTGCCTAACTGCATGCCATCATTTGTTTCTCCCTTTGTGATCTTCTGCTGTAGTCAAGTATCCCTTCAGAATAAACTTCATGGGATGGACATAGCCTAATGAGCTCATTGCTGATGAAGTCTTTTTTTCCTGTGCATTGGTTAGTGCAGTAAGCAAGGCTCCTTAACTGCCTGTCCCAGTGTACTGAAAAATAATAGTGTTCTGTCACCTTAAACTACAACTTGTGGTTTTCGCTTATTGCTTCTTTAGTCTTTGACCACATGCATGTTTTTACATAGTTGCAGTTATTTTATTATATTCCTTTTTCTGTCATAAACACTTTCGAAATGTATTTGTGGTACTCAAATTATAGCTTAACAGTTAAATAATTTGATATATTACAGTTTCCCCTCTTGTTAGGTTGTATCCAATTTTGGGGTTTGTTTGTTCGTTTTTGTTTTTTTTTGTTTGCTTAAGGGAAGCACCAAAATAAACATCTTTATATGTAATGTTATTTCCCTAAGAAAAATTTCCAGGAGCTTGATCCCAGGGTAAGAAGCTATGCACATTTTCGTGGTTCTTGCCTTGTAATGTCATATTTTGCTTTTTTAACCTTTAATAAAGAACGTTCCTATGCCCTTGCTTTCAGATGGGTCTTTTCTTATTGTAAGGAAAGGACTAACATAAGTCCCATCTAGAAGTGACTAACTTAACTAGTTAAAACTAGAAGGAAATATCCACTGTATTGGGCTGTTCACTCCATAAACCCTGGCTTGGCTACATGTGTGATATGTTTCAAGTCTGGCACAAAGCCACCAAACACTTTCTTGGTGAAACCTCCTCACATCAGATATGAATGCTGAAGTGGGAGCTTTCATTGTTTTTTGTGCTGGTAGAACGTTGCAGAAATACACAGGGCTGGCTGTGTATTCTTAGTTACTTTTAAAAAAATGTCCTGGTGTGTCTAGAATGATGGTTTCTGTTCTTTGCAAAAATAAAAACATCAAACAAGATAAAGTCCGATGTAACCAAGACCCTCTACTTGAACCTTCTGTCAGTACTGTTTAAGTACTGTAAGTTTCCATGGTTCATGTTATCTTAGGATATCTTGTGAAACGAATCCTTGTGGTCCCTACTCTGGGTAACACTTTGTGACTTAACTTTTTACAGTGAACATAAAGATTCTGAAAAGAAACACAAAGAGAAGGAGAAGACCAAACACAAAGATGGAAGCTCAGAAAAGCATAAAGACAAACACAAAGACAGAGACAAGGAAAAACGAAAAGAGGAAAAGGTACAGAGTTTTCTAGTGGGGGAGGAAGGGACGTGGGTGCACTTTTGTTTACCTTTAAAAGCAGCTATCTTCACTGCATAGTAAGATCCCTTGGCCTTGGAGTGAAAGGTCTCTTGTCAGGAGAATTCAGAGCAAACTTTAGTCTTAAACTATAAAAACTAAGCCTTTTATCACCATATGTCTCACAGTAGCAGATCTGTCCATATCATTACCTTTTTTTTTTTTTTTTTTTTTTGCCAATGGATACATTGAGAATGCATTAGGGAAAATTAATTGTTTTTGGGAGAAGGCCTAATGCCTTGTTGGTCTTCTGTTCGTTAAAGATTCTTCCCGAGTGAAAATTTAGTGATGCTGGTGCCCTTTGTCTTTTGGTTCCAGCATAACCAGTACAAGCCTTCTAAAAATGACTAGGCTCACCTGGTTGAGAATGAATAGTACTCTGTATAGTTTTAAAAAGAGATTGTTTTTATTTTAGCTTTGAAAAAGTAATTTTTGTACGTGGTAAATTCCGATACTATGAAATAAGGAATATGGTGAAGAAGACATCTCTTCACCACTGACTCATTGTCTCCCATCCTTCTCAGAGGCAACCGCTATGCTGATTATGTTTTGTGTCCTTCTAGAGATACTCTGTGTATATCTGTGCGTGTGTGTGTGTGTGTCCCTTCGTGTGTGTATATATGAAGATTTTTTTGAAAGATAAAGTTTCTGACGAATCTACAAAGCAGGAAGTTGAAGGGGAGGGGGTCATAAGTATACTTTGCCGGAGTCAGAGAAGGCAGGGCATATAGTTTTTTGTTTGTTTGTTTGTTTTTTAAATAAAGACAGGGGTCTCACTGTGTTGGCAAGGCTAGTCTCGAACTCCTGGCCTCAAGCAGTCCTCCCACCTCATCCTCCCAAAGTGTTTGGATTACAGGCATGAGCCATCACATCTGGCCCATATGTTTTGTTTGGTTGGTTTTTGCTTTTGTTTCCTCTCTGCACTGCCAATGGCAACTTCTTGAATAGTGGAACGTACTTATTGGGGAAAAGAGACCTGCCATCACTTAAAGGTAAAAAGCTGCCATTTTGAAGGGAAACCTTTCTCAGTGAGTTGGACAGTTTCACCCAGAAGAATTGTTAAAAACGAGTTTTGGACAAATGTCAGCACCTTTAGTTCATCTATTCAGTTTTGCTAACATAAGAGCCAGCCTGTGATCATGACGTCCCAAGACTTGATGCTACATATTCTCAAAAAGAGGTTTCTTCAGATTTAGTCCTTTCAGGGTACTAGTTACTGTTGTTTGACTTTTCAGGTTCGAGCCTCTGGGGATGCAAAAATAAAGAAGGAGAAGGAAAATGGCTTCTCTAGGTAAGACTTTGCTGCTGCGTGGGCTTCCCTTTCTCCGGGTGGGCAGCAGGCCAGCTGCCTGTGTTGTAGTGTTGTCTGAGTTTACCCAAAACACACTGACCTGGCCATCTTGATGGTTCCCAGAAAGTCAGCAGTGAGAAGACTTCGTCTAAGCCAACCTGAGCCTTTCTACAGTGCCATATAGTGAGACTGACCAGCACATTTTCCAGAAGGTTATTTCGAGTAGAGAAGGTTGACAGGAGAGATTTTTAAAAATTGAGATTTACATATCACAAAATTTGTCTTTTAATGGTATACAGTGTACTGTTTTTCTTTTAGTATATTCACAAGGTATTACAGCCTCTTCACTAATTCCAGAACATTTTCATTTCTCTAAAAAGGAACTTCATATTCAGTAGTGATTATGGAGTTTTCTGAAAAATTGCTTAGTCTGAATTCGTCCTTAATAATATTGGGAGACTTATATATAAAAGATCATTTGACCTACATGTTAGGGATGAGTGTAGATTTGGGAAGAATTATGTTATCTCTTTTCTAGAAGGAGAGGAAAATGCACACAATCTAGAGGTTACTTCCTATACTGCTTTTACTTTTATAGTATTTTTTTCCTCATCCTCAGTTTCCTAAAATAAGCCCAAAGGGTCCCCTCTAGTTTCGAAACAACTGGATGTTTATTGTTACATATTCTCACTTCACTGAATGACAGAATGGATTTATTAGAAATGGTTGGAAATATTTGCATTATTGACTAGGACAAAACACTTTGAGAGTTTTGCTTCCTTGAATCTTTGAACTTCCAGTTTCATTTGTTAAAGTTTTTGACAATTGTGCCTGGTTCTCTGGGTCCTTTAGACAAGGAGAAGCAGGTGCCCTCTTCAGGCATGTTTCATAATTGTTCTAGGAATGCAGAATAATAAAATTCAAGAAGCATTAGAGCTGCAAGCTGCCCTAGGAATTTTGATTTCTGAGATAAAGTGACTGAGGCACTGCTGGGCTAATCTCTGCCAAGAGACTGCCTTGGATTTTTATTAAACGGATATGAATAAACTTTTTGGACTTGGTGTGTAGTTGTGAGTTCATTTTCAGACTTTTTGGGTTAGAAGATTAGGAACACAGCCTTCTTTGAGGCAGTGGTCTCTGTGTTCACTTTGTTGGACTCCTTGCTGGCTTCTGTGTATGTCTTTGTAAAGAATCCAGATGCTTCACTGGAATACAGTTTTCTGGTAAATTGTTTTAGGACTTCTTCCTTCAGACTTAGTAACCCTTCCCACATGTTTTTGTCTTCAGTGTGACAAACTTAGGATCTAGCATTTACTTAACTAGTTGGGTAAATGATAGGCTTTCTTTCCTTCTGGACCCTAGGGTCTATGTCAGTATTCAGGCAGGAGGGGGAACAGCTGTAGAAGCTGGCATTTGGTTAGTGTGCTAAAATAAGTTCTTTAAACATTCAAATTCTATCACAAGCAGGGGAACCCAGTATGCTTTTTTTTGGTTGGAGGTACTCTTGAAACCCTGTGAATATACTTTGTAGTGGAGTCTGGATTCTTAATCCTTGGATCCCTCCACAGGGGGCAGCTACATATAAGGAGGCCATTCCTTGTGCTGAGTTAAGGCAATGAGGTTCTGAAGAGATGTGCCAGGCCACGGAGGATCCCTTGGGGGCCAGTGATTGTTGGGCTCTATGGTATTTTTTACTTATTCCTTCTCTGTTTTGGTTCAGGATGGTTGTCTCAAAGGATTGTCTTTTTATATTTATATTTTAAAGGTAAGATCTTAACAAATAGTAGTGAGACACTCTTCTGTATATAAAGTAAACCTAAGTTAGGACATTGAACAATGAATAGATTTGGCATAGGATACCTTCTGTTTATTCTGGTTTAACACGTGCCCTTCTTTTGTTGTAATGTTGTCAGCTTGGTTATCTTTCCACGTAACTGAATATACATGTACATTATTGCCAGATTTTTAGAACTTTAACATACTAAGTTGGGGAAATCAACTTAGTTTATTTATTTATTTGTTTATTCCTTTCCTTGTAAAAGCTGTACTTTAGCTTTTGGAGTACTGGAACAATCAGTTCAGCTTGTGGGGTCAAATATATGGTAGGTTTCTCGTGTAAGGCAAGAAAACACCTTAGGTTTATTTCTGGAGTGGTTCATGCCATGCTGGCAAAGACAGCTAAGAAATAGTGAGAAAGAATTCTGACTTAGAGTAAGGAGTCTTGATCCCAAATCCTGATATTGCCCATTCACATGTACAATGAGGACAGATACTCTCTACTTCACAGGATTGAAGTGAGAAAAAGTGCTCACAGAAAATCTTTATAATATGTATGTGGTTATCCTTATTTATATTAGCTTCTTTTCAACGAGATGACATATTCCTTCTTTGTATTAATACAGTACAGATGTTCTAGCACTCTGTGACCAGCAATTTTTTTTCTCTTTAGTCCACCACAAATTAAAGATGAACCTGAAGATGATGGCTATTTTGTTCCTCCTAAAGAGGATATAAAGCCATTAAAGAGACCTCGAGATGAGGATGAGTGAGTATTTTCTTAAAACTTTGACTTTGGAAAACAAAAAGGAGGAGTTTAAAGAATACATGTGATGTGTTTCTTTATAATACATATAGAAGCTGCATTAATTGGCTTTTACTCATTTGGGATTTGTGATTAATGGACTGATTTCTCTGAATTATGAGAAGTAGGGTTTGCTAAACAAGTAAGTAGTATTCCCAAGGCTTACATGAAGATTATATAAATTTTTCTTATTGTAAAGGCAATAGATATTTATTGTAGAAATTTCAAATAATACAGAATTCATGAAGAATAAATTAAGTCACTTAAAATTTCTCATTGCCTACCATAGATAACTTAAAGCAGTTTCTCTTAGACCTATCCCTGTCAGTACATTCTAAGTGAAGTTTCAGTGTGTAAAAATAATAAAACTGCTCATAAAACATGTACCTCTTTCCCCAGATTCAGTGAGATTAAATTATATTCATTATTTTCACTCTTACATAGCTTATTACGCTATTATTATAGTAGAAAATGGATGGAAAGAGAGAAGGGAAATACTTAGTGAACTGCTTTGTATTCATTCAATATAGAATTTCTTTCCTCCACATTCCAGTGAGTTACTGCTATGTGGTAGCTAGTGTGCTGTGCGTTTGGTTCCCAAACTTTCATCTTTTTTTTTTATTTTATTTTATTTCCCAAACTTTCATCTGATAATGGTGTTTATTTCTGCATATATCCCCCCACCCTATTTTGCTTCCAGGCCAGTGTAAGTGGTTAGTTTTGTTCTATATAGGGCTGTAACTATTTCTTTGGTCTGACCTTCATTATTTTCTCCACTTCTGTTACTCTTGACCATAGAATGCCCAGCCAAGAATAACAGCAATTACTCCTGCCATGGAGGCTTCCCAGAGTTTGTAGGTCTCCTATGAGTGAGGACTCCTGAATCATAATTATGCTAACTGTGTATTCATGTTCCCCTTTCTAGTGCTGATTATAAACCTAAGAAAATTAAAACAGAAGATATCAAGAAGGAGAAGAAAAGAAAACTAGAGGAAGAAGAGGTTAGTAAAGAGACTTAGGCCCTTTGGGGTGAGTTTGGAAGTGAGAGTTTTCCAGTAAGCAACTTCTTAAGACAAATGAGTTTTAGTTATTTATTGGCTTGTTTGTTGTAGTAATAACATTAGGGAAAAAAATTCAGTAAGTGATGGCTGTGGCACTGGTAGTTTTAAGATCTCTATGAATCCCCACAGTGTCTTAAGTTAACCACAACCAGCAGCGATTCTGCTCTCAGCCTTCCTGGGTGTCTGTCTACCCACAGCTATGCTGCCAACAGATGTTCTTCCAAAAAGTATGTCATCTTCATGTATACAGAGGCAATGTTAACAAGAAACCACATTTTGGCTTATAACCCTGAAGAAATTTCCCTAAGAATTTTTTGCTCGTCATTCACTTTGGGTAACCATTCCTATCTAAAGTTCTTTAATGGGTGCCCCTTTGACATAAAATTGACACCCAAACTCTTTACCGCAGCTCCTCCCGATCTGGCCCCTGCATCTTGTGCCTCTCTTCATCTTGTGCCTCTTCTCTAGCTTGCTTATACCAGTCACACTAACCTCCTTTGTTTCTTTTCCACACCAAATTCTTTCATACTTCCGAGATTTATGGAGCACCTGCTGTTCCTCTGTCTGGAGCACACATGCTCCCTTCTTTATCCTCTTGGCCTATAACCTTCCTCAAAAAACTCGGTTCCGTTTAAATGCTTTCCTAAATGTTCTTGTTGATGCTTGTGGTAGATTGAAAATAGAATCATATGCTTTCTCCTTTTGACACTTTTGAGTTCTTATACTAAAAAATTGTTAGCAGGTAATTCAAGAAAAGATGTCAGAAATTCACAGAGGTCTTAATGATGCCTTCCCCTAAGAGAAGAAGGGGTTGTGTGAGTTCTTAGCTCTTATGCTACATTTGAGGTTAGCCACTGTCATGGGCAAAATGGGTTCACAAATGTAAAGTGGATAGTTTGAAGTACCAGCAGTAAAGAGAGTGATAGTGAAGGGGCAGGGAGTCTTAAGAGGATAATCTATCATAATAGTAGAATGATGTTAATAATCACAATTAAATGTAATAGGTGCTTACCATGTGCCAGGCATTCGTCTACATTTTTTTATATGTATCATTTCATTTAATCCTTACAACCTGAAAAGGTTGTTATATCCCTATTATCATCTCCATTTTGCAGATGCAGAAATAGAGTATAGAAGTATTGAATCACTTGCCTGAGGTCACATAGCTACTAAAGTGGTAAAGGCAGCATTTGATCCCATGCAGTCTGACTTCAGCGCCAGCACACCAGCTACTATATTATCCTACCTCCCCTGGGACTTTGTTGATCCTCTGATTCTGCAAGGAGGGAGAAGAAAGGTCTTTAATGAAATCATATGAAGACTATTAGTGAGTGAGTTGAGCCATAGAGAGAAGATCAGGTCCTATATTTAGAAGATCGTAGTTTTTATGACAACTAGTCTATTCTTGGCCGAAGTTCAAATTAATAAGCACTAATTCAAGGAATTGAGAGTGAAATGTTAAGTAGTGATTATGGTAGTCAACCACTCCACTTCCATGTACCTAATCAGTGCAAACTAGTCAGTAAAGGAATACAAAACTTGAATTCTCCAAGTGTTGTTTTTCTTTTATGTTTATATTGCATTTATGCAAAAATAATACTCTGAATTTGTTAAACCATTGGGAAAAAAGAACAGTTGACTTCAGTTTTTATTCTATTTAGCAACCCTAACACATAGGGGAAAAATGCTGGCTGAAAGACTGAATTAATACAGTCTTACTGTGGCAGGGACCCCAGATGGCAGAATCTGTCATTAAACCTCACTCGCCAACTATGTTTTCTTTTCCCCCCTCTTGTTTTTGAGAATTGTTCTGAGGTCTCTCCCTGACTGATACCCCAATTTGAGGTTTGAAAACACACAGTGTAGCCAGTAGTTTCCTAATGGGACCATCTGCATGCCTACTCAGAAGCTGTTTAGAGTATCTTCACCAAAAAACATTTCCCTTTCCTGTGGTGTGTTTCACCCTAAATAGTAAACATTATCTGAATTAATGTGATCCTGTAGTACCTTCTCGCAAACATACCCACATATTTATATTCTCCATGCCTGTTTTAAAATATGGGTGGTACTGTAAGCTTTTCCTCTTTTTTCTATTCCTATCTTGATTGCTCTCCTATTATGAGGGTCTAAAATGTTTATTCCATTTATTGCCGTAAGTCACATTGTTATTTTTCTCGTAAAGTTAGGCTCTTATCATAGTTAATAACAGCTGTATGACCTTTATCAAGTGAAAAAACCTATTTCAGAGTCCTTGCTTGTAACTGGAAGTGGTTAAATGGACCCGTCCATACACTTTCCAGCTGTGCCACTCTTTAATTGATTTTAAGATTGTTCAAAACCACCTTTAAACTTGTTGAATAAAGACTGAATAAATAGTTAAATTATGTTGAATAGGTAGGACACAGGAAAATATTCTTTGAAAGAGTTCAGATTCTGAGTGGGATCTTCACTTGTTGAATATTACATTTTTGTTTGGGTTTTGTGTGTATGTTTTGAGATATATCTCTGTATTGGTGAATTCTGCCTGTTTAGGTTTGATACCCTTTTTTTGTGCCACTATGATCAGCTCATTTACATTCAGAATTCAAAGAAGAGCCATAAAGAAATACCACTATAGGAATTGGTATCATTTTAGAACCTCTGAAATACTTGCTTACTGCATCATGACTTTGTGTATACAAGCAGCAGCGATAGAACTATACTCAACTAAATCAACTGGGAATTTTCTTTCATACTGAATGCTAAATATCTAATGCAAAGCCTTGTATAGCCGTTATTTGATTGTACTAGAAGAGGTTTAAAGATGAGTAGGATTAAACATAAGTGAGGAAAAACGTAAGTGAGGAAAATACACTCGGATTACTCTCTAGAGCAGTACTTTTCCAAACTCCTTTGAGGTTTAAAAAAATATATATATATAGTTTCCAAGTCTCTTCCCCTGCAGAGTGTTTTTTTAACTACTTTCTCAGGTAGTCGTTTGTCAGGAAATTTTAGGAAATACTGCTCTAGAACAGAGCACCAGTACATTGTTATTCATCTGTCAAATGAGAGGAGTAGACCTGAGATCCTCTTTAGTTCTAATACACTGTGATTACAATTTTTCTTCCTCGTGGCTCCCAAAAACTGCCTCCAGAAGTGTGATCAGTCCTTATTTAAGTGCTTTCTCACCATGTTTCTTTGTAGGATGGTAAATTGAGAAAACCCAAGAATAAAGATAAAGATAAAAAAGTTCCTGAGCCAGATAACAAGAAAAAGAAGCCGAAGAAAGAAGAGGAGCAGAAGTGGAAATGGTAACATTTCAGCACTGGGTTAAAATGCCACCTCTTTTATTGCATATCCTTACGAAGCAAGAATATTGAGTTATTAAAATTAATATCCTGATATTTGGGGTAAAATACTTAAAACAGTTTCTCTAGAATAACATTCGAAATAAGTTTTCCAACTTCTAGTGAAATCATTAACTGGCTCTAAATCTATTGGATCTCAAACTGGTTTCCATCACTGTGAACAGAATGGACTGTAGAAGCAGACCTATGTATAGGTGGGAATTTAGCATACGAAGAGAGTACAGATACATTTAAAATCATAGGGAAAGGATAGATTATTATGTAAGTCGTGTTGGGAAAACTGCCTGTTTGTTCAACAACAGAAGAAACCTCAACAAGAAAATGTGGGTGAATATTTTTATAATTGTGCAATCGTGACAATCCTTTGAAGCAGGACATAACCAGAGCCATAAGGAAAGGTGTTTTACATTTGATACATCAAAGTTCAATTTATGGCAGATGGACAACTTCATGCCATTAAAAAAAGAAAAAAAGCAAAGTATTTGCAATACAAAGGGCTGATATTCCTAATATGAAAAAAAGGTCTTTTAAAACAGGTGTGAAAGGAATGGTCTAATCAGAATGTGAGGAACAGGCAGTTTAGTAAAATAAATGGTTAATAAACATCTAAAAATATCAACTTCATAAGTAATCAAAGATGCAAAAAAATGATAAATCTTTTTTTAATGCCTCTTAGATTGGGGAAGATTAATAAATGAAAATATCTAGAGTTGTGAATATGAGAAAACAAGCATTCTTCCTCCCTGTAGGAGTGAAAATTCAATCTTTATGAAGGACAGTTTAGTCATAGCTGGTCGCTCTTGAGAAGTGTGTTTAGGTGGAGAACTTTTCTACTTTTGGTGTTTAGAATCTTGAAATAAACATGTTTTTAAAAAATACTTATTTCTGTTAACATATTCTACTATTTACTATACCAACAGTACATGATTTTGTGTTTATGATGAAAAAACTCAAATGATTGATTTAATAGTTAGAGTAAAAATCAAAGTCACCTGTACCTCTCTTCTCCCATTCTCATTTTCCTTTCCAGCTTTCCAGCTTTGAGGTAATCACTGTTCATAACTCGGTATATAGCCTTCCAAACCTGTTTATGTGCCTTTATGGCTTTTGTAATTTAGAACTTTGATGTCCACAGCACCTCTGAGGAAAGGGAGGAGAAAGAGCACTGACCAGGAAGGTGGCAGAGAGGAGAGCCAAAGTGGCAGAAGTGTGGCCACACAGTGACAGCTGTGTGATTGGCATGTTGCTATGGCATCATGGGATTAAATGGGAAGTATAGAAAAGGAGTATCACAGAGCAGAGGAACCCTGGCTCTTTCTAGAGGTCAGAGTCAGAAAGTAAAAGAAGGCCAGGTGCGGTGGCTCATACTTGTAATCCCAGCACTTTGGGAGGCTGAGGCTGGTGAATCACCTGAGGTTAGGAGTTTGATACCAACCTGGCCAACATGGCGAAACCTCATCTCTGCTAAAAATACAAAAATTAGCCAGGTGTGGTGGCGTGCACCTGTAGTCCCAGCTACTTGGGAGGCTGAGGCAGGAGAATCACTGGCACCTGGGAGGAGGAGGTTGCAGTGAGGTGAGATCATGCCACCACACTCCAGCCTGGGTGACAGAGCGAGACTCCATCTCTCAAAAAAAAAAAAAAAAAACAGGGCACAGTGGCTCATGCCTATAATCCCAGGACTTTGGGAGGCCAAGGTGGGCGGCTCACAAGGTCAGGAGTTCGAGACCAACCTGGCTAACATGGTGAAACTATCTCTACTAAAAAAATATAAAAATTATCTGGGCATGATGTCATGCACCTTAATCCCAGCTACTCGGGAGGATGAGGTGGGAGAATTGCTTGAACCCGGGACGTGGAGGTTGCAGTGAGCCGAGATTGCATCACTGCACTCCAGCCTGGGCAACAAAGCAAGTCTCTGTCTTGAAAAAAAACATGAGTTTATTTTCCTTGTTTTTATGTCACTTTTCTTTAGAACTAATACAACATTTTCAGTGATCTTGACCTTTAAGAAAATGATTTTTAGAAATAAAGTGATTGTGTAAATTAGGGGTTATTACTTGGAGTTAAGAGAATGGTACGTTAGTAAATTCATCAGTCAGGGTTCTGTGGTAGGTACTCAATAAATGCTTGTTAAATGAACAAATAAATTTCCTTATCAGGAGCTTCCTGCTGTCTCCCCTTTACTTCAGAGCTTTGGCTCTTCTTGGAATCCAGGCAAGTGCACTGGGTCCGGCATTCTATGTGTAGAATTAGGTGCCCTTGAGGGGTTTAGGAGCCTAATTTTGCTTTTGTGGTTGAAATCCTTATCAGTGTTGCCACACATTCTCTCTGAGAGACCATGACTTTTGGTTTTTATTCTTATTTTGGGTTAAAGGGGAACTGGCTGGTCTTTAACTAAAAGTTGTTTTTTGAGGGATGAGCAGACTTTGCTACAGCTTCTATCATTTCTCAGGTGTGATGGTTAAACCTTGCACATTCTTTTCAAGCACAATGGTTGAATGGCACGTCGAGTTTTTGGAGTTTAAAATAGGAATGAAGAGCCTCTTAACTGATAGCTAGAGGCTGCGTATTGTACTCTGAAGTCAGTTATCCAGTCCTCAGTGACTGCCACTGATGACCTAGTCGGGAACTTAAATGGCAGAAACTCTTATGTTAACTATTCCTTATGCTGTCCCACTAAAATAAGTACACACTTTACAAGCTTGACAAATTTGCATATCTTTTGCTTTCCTTCTAAGTCCGCAGAACTGTTTATCCTTACCAGAAAAAAAAACACTTACTCTGATCTTTATCTCCCTCCTTTGGTAATTGTTCCATTGGAAAAGGTCCAGGTCCTTCAGGGTTTCTTTGCTATATCACATTATCTCCATAGAAACATTGTTATAAGTGGTGGCAGTGTGCTTGGGTTCATACATGAAATCCTGTTTATCCCAGATGTCCTGATTTTTAACTGTTGGCCATTGTAGCTGAACAGGGTTTTAGCATTGTTGGGTTAATTAAGTACGCTTTTGTATCAGAGCTGACCTGTGGGAATATAAGTTGCAAGTTAATTCTCAACAGATGATTCTTCATAAAGAATTAGAACCTGGGGAGTTTATTGCAGGTGTTAGGTGTGACTTTAAATGGGGTTTTGAGTCTCTTAGCAAAGGTAAAATGCTGTGAGGAGTCAGGACTATAATGTTGTAAGGAATTAGTGTTGCAAGACCAAGACTCATAAATATATGGTCAATGATAGTGATAAGAAATTTATGGAATACGGATTATTGACATTTTGCTCAAACCAGAAAAACTGCCCTTAATTTCAAGGATTAGCATTCAGAATCTATAGCATGTGACCTTTATTTCTAAATTTAAAAAAATTAAATAAGAGTTTTATAGCATACTGTGAAGTGCTTGCTAACTGCAAGGGAACTTGATTTTAAAAAGCACATGGAGTTTACTTTCCTGTCTTTATATTTCTAGCACTTTTCCACCTTTCCCCTTCCAAGCAAATGTTATTATTAAATTGGTACTTGATTATTCCAGTCAAGCTGCCAAAGGGAAGCCATTTTGATGTCTAAGTACATGTTTTTGTTTGTTTGTTTTTAAATTTGGGGGGGAATATATGCACGCATGGGGAGGCTTAAAGGACAAAACTGTTTGCTTTTATTTGTACAATGATAGCTGTCAACCCAGTCACATGAGCTTATTGAAAGACATGCTCTTTCTGTTTAAACTGAGGTTTAGCGTTGTGATTTGTTGAATCTCTTAATTTACTTAAATGGTAAAGAAGTTGCTGTGGGTCTTGAAGATACACATGTTGAAATAGGAATTGTAAAAACAGTTTGGAGTCTTCATTTAAAAACACTGTAGGACCGGGCACGGTGGCTTATGCCTGTAATCCCAGCACTTTGGAAGGCTGAGGTGGGCAGATCATGAGGTCAGTAGATCGAGACCATTCTGGCTATCACAGTGAAACCCCATCTCTGCTAAAAATAAAAAAACAAAATTAGCTGGGCATGGTGGCGGGCGCCTGTAATCCCAGGTACTCAGGAGACTGAGGCGCAAGAATGGTGTGAACCCTGGAGGCGGAGCTTGCAGTTAGCGGAGATCGCACCACTGCACTCCAGCCTGGGCAACAGAGCGAGACTCTGTCTCAAAAAACAAACAAACAAACAAACAAAAACCACTGTAGTTGAAGAGAAGAATGGTGCCAAAGTCCCAGGATAAGGGAAAGTGTGGCGTTCTGAATCTCCTCACGGTTACTCCGTGACTGCTACATGTCTGTTTGTTGAGATGTAGGAGCTCTGTATATATTTTGTATGTTAACCCTTTATCAGATACATGATTTACAGATATTTTCTCCCATTCTGTGAGAGGCTCCTTGCAAATGCTCTCATACACCTACATATATGTATATTTTCTCTATTTGGAGAGTAATAGACTGTAGGACTGGGCAAGTTCCTACATTGAGATCTTTTTATTAATATATCAATATCTGAAAAAGTGGTAGATTAATTATAGAGGATCTTTAATGTTCTTCTGAGGTCTAAGATTCTACTAAATCTTTATTTTTGTTTAAATTATTTGTGTAAAATACATATGACATAACATTTATCTTAACCATTTTTAAGTGTACAATTCAGTGGCATTAAGTACATTCATATTGTTGTGCACCATCACCATCTCTAGAACTCTTCATCTTGCAAAACGGAAACTCCGTAGTTATTAACAATTTCCCACTTCTCTGTTGCCCCAGTTCTTTTTTTTTTTTTTAAGACGGAGTCTCGCTCTGTTGCCCAGGTTGGAATGCAATGGTGCGATCTCGGTTCACTGCAAGCTTCGCCTCCTGGGTTGGAGCAATTCTCCTGCCTCAGCCTCCTGAGTCGCTGGGATTACAGGCTCCCACCACCATGCCCAGCTAATTTTTTACATTTTTAGTAGAGATGGGGTTTTGCCATGTTGGCCAGGCTGGTCTGAAACTCCCGACCTCAGGTCATCTGCCCACCTCGGCCTCCCAAAGTGCTGGTATTACAGGCGTGAGCCACCGTGCCCAGCCTATTCCCCCCAGTTCTTGGTAAGCACCATTCTACTTTCTGTCTCTATGAATTTGACTACTCTTGGTAACTCGTATTAATAGTCATACAGTATTTGTCCTTTGTGACTGACTTATTTCACTTAACAGAATGTCAGCGCTCATCCATGTTGTAGTGTGTTTCAGAATTTTCTGACTTTTAAAGGCTAAATATTCCACTGTTTATACTGCATTTTGTTTATTCATCTTTTGATGGACACAGGTTATTTCTGCCTTTGGCTGTTGCAGATAGTGCTGCTGTGATCATTCGTGTACAAGTATTTATGGGCATGTTCCTGGGAATGGAATTGCTGGGTCATGTGGCATTTCTATGCTTAACTTTTTGAGGAGCTGCTGTACTATCTTTTCCACATTGGCTGCACCTTTTTACGTTCCTACCAGGACCACACAAGGGTGCTAGCTTCCCTACATCTTCACTAATGCTTGTTATTTTTTGTTTTATTGCCATCCTTATGAGTATGAGTGGTATCTCATTGTGGTTTTGATTGGTATTTTCCTAATGATTAGTGATGTTGAGTATTTTTTCAGGTACTTATTGGCCACTTGTATATCTTCTTTAGAAAAATGTCCATTCAAGTTCTTTGCCCCAACTCCCTACCCCCACACTTTTTTTTTTTTTTTTGGAGACAGAGTCTTGCTCTGTTGCCCAGGCTGGAGTGCAGTGGCGCAGTCTTGGCTCACTGCAACCTCTGCCTCCCGGGTTCACGTGATTCTCATGCCTCAGCCTCCTGAGTAGCTGAGATTATAGGCATGCACCACCACACTCGGCTAATTTTTTGAATTTTTAATAGATACAGAATTTTGCCATGTTGGCCAGGCTGGTCTCAAACTCCTGACCTGAAGTGATCCCTCTCCCCGCCTCGGCCTCCCAAAGTATTGGGATTACAGGCGTGAGCCACCGTGCCGAGCCCCTATTTTTTATTTTATCTTTTTTTTCCTCCACCTTAAGACTGAGACTTTGCCCATTTTTTAAATTGGGTGGGTTGTTGAGATGGAGGAGCTCTTTATATATTTTGTATGTTAACCATTTATCAGATACATGATTTACAGATATTTTCTCCCATTCTGTGAGTTGTCTTTCACTCTCTTGAAGTGTCCTTTGATGCACAGAAGTTTTTAAGTTCAGTGAAGTTCAATTTATTTATTTATTGAGACAGAGTGTCTCTCTGTTGCCCAGGCTGGAGTGCAGTCGCGTGATCTCGGCTCACTACAACCTTCGCCTCCCAGGTTCAAGTGATTCTTGTGTCTCAGTCTCTGGAGTAGCTGGGATTACAGGCGTGTGCCCCCATCCCTGGATAATGTTTGTATTTTTAGTAGAGACGGGGGTCTCGCCATGTTGGCCAGGCTGGTCTCGCACTCCTGTCCTCAAGTGATCCGCCCACCCCAGCCTCCCAAAGTGCGGGGTTTACAGGTGTGAGGTACTGTGTCCAGCCGCAATTCATTTATTCTTTCTGTTACCTGTGTTTTACGTGTCATATCCAATAAATCACTATCAAATCCAATATTGTGAAGCTTTTCCCCTATGTTGTCTTCCAAGAGTTTTATACTTTTGCTCTTATATTTAGGTCTTTGATCCGTTTTGAATTAATATTTGTGTATAATGTAAAGACCCAGTTTGATTATTTTGCCAGCACTATTGTTGAAAAGACTGTTCTTTCTCCATTGAATGGTCTTAAGCATCCTTGTTGTAAATCATTTGACCATATATGTCGACTGTGGTTTTATAGTAATACCATTGTTACAATATGGTTTGATACATGTAATTTTTATTTGACGTTTCTGAACTTTGTTTAAAATTGAACTTGTTCCATGGCTGAATGATTGATAAAATAAAATAAAATAAATAAAATATTGGACTTGGAAAGTAAATATGAGGGTAGTAAGTTAGTTATCTATTAGAGTAAAAGAAACTTGAGACATATCAACCAGTTGCAGTATGTGAGCCTGAGTTGGATCCTGGTCTATAAAATAAATTTCGATCAAATAGGGAAGTTTTTAATATGGACTGGATATTAGAATTACACTAGGAAGTTATTAATTTTGTTAGATGTGATGATAATAGTTTTGTGGTTATGTGGAAGAATATTATTTTTATGGAGATACTTGCTGAAAAATATTTAGTGGTGAAGTATCAAATCTGCAACTAACTTTGAAAATGGTTCAGCTAAAATAGGAAATTTCGCAAATTATTAACTTTTTTTTTTTTTTTGAGATGGAGTCTCACTCTGTTGCTCAGGCTGGAGTGCAGTGGCACGATCTTGGCTCACTGCAACCTCTGCCTCCTGGGTTCAAGCAATTCTCGTGCCTCAGCCTCCCGAGCAGCTGGGACTACAGGTGCGCGCCACCATGCCCGGCTAATTTTCGTATTTTTAGTAGAAACGGGGTTTCATCACATTGCCCAGGCTGGTATCGACCTCCTGACCTCGTGGTCCGCCCGCCTCAGCCTCCCAAAGTGCTGGGGTTACAGGCGTATATGGTGTTTATTGTATTACTCATTTTTTCTCTTATGTTCAACCATTTTAAAAATACATTTTCAAAAAGTTGTTTCCACTGAGCTTTAGATTCACTTATCAGTGTTTGCTAGATAGTTCCAGGTAATCCATAAGTACCTTAAACTCAACATGCCCCAGTTAAGCTGTCATTTCCTAGTCTTCTTGCTTTATGTCCTTTCTCATAGGGTTGTTTTCCCCTGTACCTTCCATCTGACATCACCACTCTGAGGAGGCCTTAGCCTACTTATGAACAATGTGAACAATCCCTCTGTCATGTATGCCATTGTGGTAAAACAGCTGTTGACATTTTCATGTCCCTCACTTGTTGCTGAGCTCCTTCATTGTTGATCTCTTCTGTCCAGTATCCTTGAACTGAGCTGTTGAAATGTATTTTCCTTTATTCACCACAGTATTTCATCTTTCTTGCGAGTGTTGGCGTTTTCAAAATGAGAGACACTGGTTCTTTTGATCCAGGCCTTGAATGTGAGGCCCAGAAGTCATTCCAGAGCACTAATCAGTTGCACGGATAATTATTTGGCATTTAATCAGTGATGACCCCCATGTTAGGCAAGGTGATCACTAAATGAGGTTGTGCTTTGTCTTTTAAAGGTGGGAAGAAGAGCGCTATCCTGAAGGCATCAAGTGGAAATTCCTAGAACATAAAGGTCCAGTATTTGCCCCACCATATGAGCCTCTTCCAGAGAGTGTCAAGTTTTACTATGATGGTGAGTTGTTTCAAGGTTCTTGATTCTTGGCCAAGAAAAGAAATCTGCTTCTATTTAGGAATAGAAAACAAGGAAGGATCCTATATAATAGATAATCCTTTTTATTTCATTTTGTTTTATTGCCATGCGATTTTGAGGAAGGGGCATCAGGTGTTAACTCTTTTTTTTTTTTTTTTTTTTTTTTTGAGACGGAGTCTTGCTCTGCCGCCCAGGCTGGGGTGCAGTGGCCGGATCTCAGCTCACTGCAAGCTCCGCCTCCCAGGTTTACGCCATTCTCCTGCCTCAGCCTCCCGAGTAGCTGGGACTACAGGCGCCCGCCACCTCACCCGGCTACTTTTTGTATTTTTTAGTAGAGACGGGGTTTCACCGTGTTAGCCAGGATGGTCTCGATCTCCTGACCTCGTGATCCGCCCGTCTCGGCCTCCCAAAGTGCTGGGATTACAGGCTTGAGCCACCGCGCCCGGCCCAGGTGTTAACTCTTAAAGGCCCATTTGCTGCTGAAAAAGTGCCATGAAAAAGGGGCTGTTCATGTCTTCCCTACATAGTCCAAAAAAGGTTTGTCAACATGGCTCACAGTGTGTGGTCCACAAGCTGAAGATTTTGATCTGAACTTCATTTCTAGGGAGTGACTCTTTGCAAGAGTTATTAGAAAATCCTCACTTGAATGGTAGTATTTTATGTTAGCAATATAATAATGCAATCGGACAAGCTGCTCATCACTAGAAACAGTACTAGTATATGGTTGAGGATTAATAGTCTGCTATCAATCTCTAGATAAGGCTGGTAGGCATCTGTCACTTATTCTGTGTAGCATAACACTATGCCTTTGATATATGTACAGTCAAGTCTGATGAGCTGCTTTAAAGAAATGCCCTGCCTGGGTCGCTTAGAACCCTCAGAATTGTCCTTTATCTGTCGTTGGTATTTCTATCCTTGGGTTGAAGGATTTGAGGGTAGCCTTTGACATGCCTCCTGTTGGCAGTGTAGCAGTATGTAGATGGTAATAACTGATTTTCTTCATTCCATGAGTTTTATCTGGGAATGGTTAGAGCATTGTTCCTCATACCCTTATGTGCTTACGACTCAACAGAGTGGATCTGAGCCCATTTAATAGTTGTGGGGTGGGCTTCTTTTCCCTTCCCCACCGACCCTCTTCTTCTTTCCCCTTTCCCAACCATCCTTCCCTCTTCTTCTGTCCCCTTTCCCCACAGTCCCCCTTCTCCTTTCCCCACCATTCCTCTTCCACCTCCACTTGTCTTGCCACCATCTTTTGGCCACTGTTATTTCACCTCCCCATTTCTCCACCATTTTTCCCACCCTCAACCCCCCACTGTTTTCTTCTCACCCATCCCACTGCCCCCACCAAAAAGAAAAAGTTGTGGGGTAGGATTGAGTACTTCTGAACCAAGTGGTCTGCTGACCAAACTTTGAGAATCACTGGGCAGGATAACTGCTGAAAAGCGTCCGTGGTGAACACTCAAGCGTTCTGGTGCATCTCTCTTTCCACCAGTAGTGGCCGTAGGTCCACCAGTGCTTGTAGGCCTAGGTAGTAGTTTACACTAAAGGGCTAGGTCTGCAGCTGAGGAAAATGCCAGACTTGGCAAGCTGAAATTTGTTTTTTTAAATGACATATTTATTACCCAAGTGTGGTGGTACACGCGTGTAGTCCCAGCTACTTGGGAGGCTAAGGTGGGAGGATCGCTTAAGCCCAGGAGGCGAAGGTTACAGTGAGCCCAGATCGCGCCACTCCCCTCCAGCCTGTGTGACAGAGTGAGACCCTGCCTCAAAAAATAAAATAATAAATAAATAAAACAACATATTTATTGAATGTATTTGTGTTCAGACATCAACACCCAGCAGTGGATAGTACTACTGACTTAGACCCTGATCTTGGGGAGTTTGCAGCCTAACAGGACTCCATAGTCTCTGGCAAATGCTTATATTACGTAAAGGTTTTGAACTGTTGACCAGAGAGCCTAAGATAGTTCTTTCAGCCCTCACAGTGGTCATTCCTGGAGACTCTTAAGTATAATTCAAAGCCAAAACTCCTAATTAAGAGAAAGGGCCTAGGACCTTGAAGAGCACCATCTCGAAGTGTAGTCCATAGCCCTGGTCTGGACTCACCAGGAGCTTTAGGATGCTCAGCCGGTAAAGCCTCACTTTGAGGTTCAGAGTGATGGGAGGGAAAGCTAAATTCCCTAGTCTTGGGGTTTCTCTTCCTTTTCAAGATGGGAAGCAGAGGCCTGGTCTAGTTCACAGGTTGCCATAGTCCTTTCCTCCCATTCTTGCCCAGTCTCCAGCATTTTCTCAGTTGGTCCTCCGCTGGGATTTCTTCTCTTTGTGTGAACTCTTACTCTGTAGTAAGTCAAGAAGTCATATTTGACTTTACTTCAAACTGATACAGTAAGTGCTGCCTACTCTCTGGGGAGGAGAATTCTTAGACTCCTTTAGAACCTGCCAGGGAGGTGGGGCATGGGCTAGCTGAAGCAGTGAATTACTGCCTCCTCTAAGGACCTTCAGTTTACAGCTTTGACTCAGCAGTTTCCTTTTCCTGGAGCTCAGCCTTTTCCACAAAGTGTTAACATTGCCAGGAACCTTCCAGTCATCCTCCCACTACTCTACTGCAGGGAGCCATCATTTCATCTTTTGACAGCTCGTCTAAAATAGGAGGAGTCACAGTTGCTTCTTCCTCTATTGGGACAGAATTCAGTAAAACAGCCCAAAGTCTCATTTTTAAAATTTTTTAAATTTATTTTTATATTTATTTATTTGATACAGAGTCACACTGTCACCCAGGCTGGAGTGCAGTGGCACAATCTTGGCTCACTGCAACCTCCACCTCCGCGGTTCAAACGATTCTCATGCCTCAGCCTCCCAAGTAGCTGAAATTACAGGCACACGCCACTACACCTAATTTTTATATTTTTAATAGAGACGAGGTTTTACCGTGTTGGTCAAGCTGGTCTCGAACTCCTGACCTGAAGTGATCCTCTCACCGCCTCCTAAAGTGCTGGGATTACAGGCGTGAACCACCATGCTCAGCCACATTTTTGTTTTAATGGTGTTAACATTTATTTTATACCAAACAGACCTGAAAACAGTTTACATTTTTTTCTTGCTATTTTATTTCATTTATTTTATTTCTAATGACTTAATGTTTTCCGTTATATTGGAAACATGTTACAGTTTTCTAAAGAAGTTCAGGGAATCTTTTAATACACAGCCAATCTTCCCCAAAGTGTCTTCCTTCCAAAGCAGAAGCTTGGGGGTTGATGGGGGCAACTGCGCCACCTGTTGGCCTTTTAAGTTAATGGTGTCCAAAGTGGGCTCTTTTTATTATAACTGTTTCAATTTTGTGCTATAGTTCTCTACACCCCTGCAGTCAGATTGCAAATCATTATGAGATGAGATGTTTTCTGAGTTTCCAAATTAATGGATTTCTGGTTAAATTTTAGTTTTCTATAAAGAATGTGGGCACCCTTGGTGAATTATTAATACCTGTGTAATAGTAAGGTGGTGGATTTATAGTTAACCTCATTTTAAGTATAGCCAGATGCTCTTAGTATAGCATTGATTGGTTCCAGGGATGTTGTAAAGTTGGATTTTTAAGAAAAAATGGAAATTGGTGCTAAGAGTACTGACAAAAGCATTCTGTTTGAAAAGTGGATTAAATTCCCAAGTACTTTTCTTTCATTGCTTTATTAACTAAATCAGGTACATAAAACCCCTAGGCCCTATTCAGATTTTCTTTACCAGTTAGCAGCTTTCATTGTGAAACATCTGAGTCCCTTTAGACAGCTTTTTGTTTGTTTGTTTGAGACAGAGTCTCGGTTTGTCGCCCAGGCTGAAGTGCAGTGGTGCCATCTTGGCTCACTGCAACCCCTGCCTTCTGGGTTCAAGTGATTCTCAAGCCTCAGCCTCCTGAGTAGCTGGAGTTACAGGCTCCCACCACCACGTCCGGCTAATTTTTTATATTTTTAGTAGAGATGGGGTTTTGCCGTGTTGGCCAGGCTGATCTGGAACTCCTGACCTCAAGTGATCTGCCTGCCTCAGCCTCCCAAAGTGCTGGGATTATAGGCGTGAGCCACCGCGCCCAGCCCCTTCAGACAGCTTTTACATAAACAATTGGATACACCAGGAACTCCAGTCATCCCTTGTGCTGTGGATGCATCCTGGTTCCCTGAAAGAGGCAGCATCATGGTACCCTTGTTCCATAGCAGTGTATTGCAAACTCTAGTGTGCATCCAAGTCTCGTTAAAATGCAATTTCTGTATAGGATTCAGGAGGTCTAGGAGGGGGACTGGGATTCTGCATTTCTAACAAACTCCAGTGTGATGCCAGTGCTGCTGGTCTGTGAGCCACTGTTGAATAGCAAGCTTCTAGAAGAAGGTCTTATTTAGGCTTTTCATATGGGAAATCTGGGCTTGCCTAGTATGGATATATATTTTTTATTCATATTCCACCCACCTAACTTTGAAGAAGAAAGATGCCTATTTCTTTTCCCCACAATTCCTTTCTTCCACTCCCTGCCCTATCCCTTCCTCCCCTTCTTGAACAGAGGCTGCTTAGCTTAGCAGTGGCAGGAGTCCCTCTGAGGATTTGATTTTTAAAAACCATTGAAGAGGTGTAAAGGACCCTGCTTGCTGAAAGGAAAAGGAAGAGTGACTGGGCCTCCCCCAGGTCATCCCTGTCCTGAGCAGGCACCTGGGAACAATTAACTGGCATAGTCTCCAGAGAATGACCCAGGTAAATATATGCTAAAGGAAGGAGAATTTGTACAAGTAGATATAAATCAGTATGTTGTCTTTGTTGTTGTTGTTACTATGTGTCACCAGACCTTTATATACCATGAGAAGGCAAACCATTATTAAAGAGAATTCGCTAGCCCTGGGTATTGATACTTAGAACATGAATACTATACCTCACTTTTTGGAACCACTTTTTTCTCTAGGTAAAGTCATGAAGCTGAGCCCCAAAGCAGAAGAAGTAGCTACATTCTTTGCAAAAATGCTCGACCATGAATATACTACTAAGGAAATATTTAGGAAAAATTTCTTTAAAGACTGGAGAAAGGTACTGTAGCCCGTGTGTTAATATCTTAGTAGCTTGCAAAACAATCAAGTATGAAGTAATAAATTATTTTGCAAAACATTTCCTGATGTAAAATTTTGAGTTTTATGGATTTTGCTGTATTTAAAGTTGTGCACTTTTTGTCTTCATTTACTATATTATGTAGGGTTTCGGTCCAATAAGAATACTTGAATATCGGCCAGGCGCAGTGGCTCACGCCTGTAATCCCAGCACTTAGGGAAGCCAAGGCAGGTGGATCACAGGGTCAGGAGATTGAGACCATCCTGGCTAACATGGTGAAACCCTGTCTCTACTATAAAATAGAAAAATTAGCCGGGTGTGATGGCGGGTGCTTGTAGTCCCAGCTACTCGGGAGGCTGAGTCAGGAGAATGGTGTGAACCCGGGAGGCGGAGCTTGCAGTGAGCCGAGATTGTGCCACTGCACTCCAACCTGGGTGACAGAGCCAGACTCCGTCTCAAAAAAAAAAGAATACTCGTATATCTTTGCTATCGGCTGTCATGTGATGGCAGGTAGGGGGTTATGAGATTAGGCCAAACAGAAAACCTCAACTCTAGTTGTGCATAGGAAAGTTTGTCTCTGCAGGACTGCCCAGTGTCTGCTGTTGCAAAGAGAAATGTTAATCTGATGTCCCACTCCCTGTTCACTCCCTGTTAATTCTTGCTCATTTGTTCTAGGTACTTTCTACTCTTGAAACAACATATACTATATTTGCCTAGGTGATTTTTTAAAATCTCATTATTCTCAATTTGGATAATGTGGACAGAGGCAGCAGTAAAGTTTACTTCCTGAACTAGCTCTGAAAAGCAAATTTAATAAATGAATAGAATAGGGGTAATGTTTCTAAGAGAGAATCAGTATGGAATTCCAAACTTGTATTCATACGCCTGGGGACAGTGTGCCACGGAGTCTAAGAAACCACATAAGAGTTCATTTTTTTCCATGATAAGTCATTTTAAAACATTTTGATATTATTAAATACATATTTTATAATAAAGAAATATTTTTTATTCTGTGTTTTTTTGTTTTTTCAAAATTCATTAATTGAGATTGGCTACTTCGAAAAACCTTTGACTGAAAAAATGGTGCTTGGGTATATTCGCAAAGAAACCCAAGGACTTACTAGTGTAGTTTAGTTGTTTTTCTTTCATCTCCCTGTTTTCTTTTGACTAGGAAATGACTAATGAAGAGAAGAATATTATCACCAACCTAAGCAAATGTGATTTTACCCAGATGAGCCAGTATTTCAAAGCCCAGTCGGAAGCTCGGAAACAGATGAGCAAGGAAGAGAAACTGGTACTACAGAATTTATTAAACCTCTGGAGAATTTTGGAATCGTGATTGGTTCATTTAATTTTCTTCTTGGTTCTTACGACACAACACTTAACATCAGTAATTTCACATCATTCTGTGCTAAAGACTTAGAATTCTCAAAGTCTAAATTTTCTTAAAGGTTTTAGTTAGACTGAAAATTGTGAATAAGTACTTTGCTCAGTAGCTCTCTATAGGAACCCTGGTGCTTCAGTGACCTAAAAACCAGTCAGTAACTCCAGCCAATAATATAGTAATTAAGGATGGACAGAACTGTCCCACAGTGGCTACTGGATATTAAGGATTTAAGACAGATGAAATCATATTGGCCATATACCTTCCTGTTCTTTTATCTGTTTTACTGTGGAATCTTGCAGTGCTCATCCATCTCCATCTTCCAGCCTTGGCCATCCTCATTACTGAAGAATTTTTCTGGTATCCAGCTGGGATGTCATTTTTCTTCTACAGGCTGCCTGTTTTTGTAAAAAAAGAAAAAAAAAAAGAAAACAAAAGTTTATTGGAACCAGCTGCCCCTACTTTTCTACATATTATCTATGGCTGTGTTTATGCAACAATGACAGAGATGAGTAGTTGCAAAAGAGAGTAGTTGCAAAAGAGACTGTGTGGCACTCAAGCCTAAAATATTTTCTATCTAGAAAAAGTTGTCAGCCCCTAACTAAAGGAATCCAGGCTAGAATTTCATTTTTTCCAATCGGAAGTCTAGAAGTTAAGGATTTTAAGGAATTTTTTGCACTTCAAATTCCTGTAGTTTCAGTATTTTGAAGGACTTGCATGTTTATATAATTCAGGCCATTGTATTTATATAACTCATTGTTTCATGGTACTTATTTGGCCACTAGTTTAAAAATTAATGTGTTACTATAAGAATGTTAATTGCATCAGACTTTCTGTCTCAGGTAAATCTTATCCTCAATATTCCAAGTTAGTGAAATTTAGTATATTATTTACATCGGGGCATTTTGAAACTTAAAAGATCACTTTGGAGCTTTGTTCTTAGAATACTGATCCAAAGATAGATTTTATAAACATCCCCTTGTCAGAGTCCCTGCAAGGACACCTGCTGCCAGCAAGGTCTGTTCCCACCCACAAGGCAGCAGGGCTTAGTTAAATTGAATCAATAAGTATATAAAAAGAGTCAATAGAGGGTAAGGAGGCTCAAAATCTTGCCCACCATACCCCACCTTTTTGGAGCAAGGATCATAGTATAGAGCATTTAACCTGTATACCTACAAAAAAATTAGTGACAGATCTGTCTGGACTTTAAAACCCATGTTTTTAGCTGTTTAACTGCTGTTTTAATTAAATGGCTCGAGCTATTCTTTTATGAGGCTGTATCAGAGACCCCTCTCCATTTCCTGTTTTGATAGTACTCAATAAAATAGTACGAATTTTTAAAGTACATTTAAAAACACCCAAACAACATTTATAAACATATATCCTTTAAGACACAGGAATCAGTTTTGAATCTAGTTGAAATCAATCCTTATAGGCAGATCTTTTTGGGGAATTTTATGATATTTAAGTTTGAGAAAACCACTAGAGGTTTTCCTTTATTTGAATTCATTTTTTAGTCATTTTCAGACTTTTCTCTATCTTGACCTAGTCTCCCACAAGAGATAAAAATGTATTAGTAGAGAACAGCATCGGAATCTATTTTGAGTACTTTCTTGGCTGTCTTCCAGAAAATCAAAGAGGAGAATGAAAAATTACTGAAAGAATATGGCTTCTGTATTATGGATAACCACAAAGAGAGGATTGCTAACTTCAAGATAGAGCCTCCCGGGCTTTTCCGTGGCCGGGGCAACCACCCTAAGATGGGCATGCTGAAGAGACGAATCATGCCTGAGGATATAATCATCAACTGTAGCAAGTGAGCTCGCACTTCATCCTGTGGGCCAAAAAGGGGGTGGAGGGTGTCCTTTATTGTACTTGGGAATATTTCCCAGGTTACACAGGACTGTTTGGGAAAGGAGATACTTAAGAGCAGGACAGTATTTCATGCATAGGTCTCCAGATGTTTTTGAGGTACAATAGTCTCCCCTCATCCACAGGGGATATGTTCCAAGACCCCCAGTGGATACCTGAAACTTCGACCCAACTGCTGTCACTTGGAACACATTTCTGTTGATGTCTTCCACCCCCAAATTTAAAGCCTTTTCCATCTTTATTAAGTACTTACCACATACAGTGGCTATAACTTTTGCAGTCTGAGGTGCAACAGCAAAACTAGCATGACTTTCTTTTTCCTTCTTCACAGTTTCACAGATGGAAGATTCGTTTTTACCTTAGATCTCAGCAACTTCAGCATACAGTTTTTTTTATTAAGTCGATAATTTTCACCTTTTCATTTAAAGCACTCTACACCTTCTCTTTGGCATATCCAAATTGCCAACATCAATACTTTCGCACTTTGGGGCCTTTATTAAGTAAAAGAAGGGTTATTTGAACACAAGCAATGTAAAACCATTATAGTCAACCTGATAACTAAGGCAGCGCCTTAGTTACCCGGGGCAAGTGACGTATACAGCATGGATATGTTGTATATATGGTTCACGTGTCCCAGGTGGGACTACAAGAGATTTCATCATGCTCCTCAGAATAATGTGCAGTTTAAAACTTACGAAATGTTTATTTCTGAAATTTTGTATTAAATATTTTTGGATGACAGTTGACTGAGGGTAAGTAAAACCATGAATAAGATGGGACTACTATATTGACTGTTAAGAAGGAAACTTGGAAAAATATGCTCAGCATATATGTCCACTTGAGGTCATGAAAGGTGAAATTATTCCTCACATCTCATTTCACTATCCTCTTGCTCTGTTATTTCCAGAGATGCCAAGGTTCCTTCTCCTCCTCCAGGACATAAGTGGAAAGAGGTTCGACATGATAACAAGGTTACTTGGCTGGTTTCCTGGACAGAGAACATCCAAGGTTCCATTAAATACATCATGCTTAACCCTAGTTCACGAATCAAGGTAAGTTACGGGATAGTTGAGAGCTGCACTGGTTCATGGTGCTGATAATCTTTTTCTGTTGAAATGTAATGTTCTCGTCCTCCAGAATCACTTTGACAAATTAAAAACCCTTCCCGTTGAAAGAAGGCAAGTAGTTAGCATTATGGTGATCTTCCTACAATGCCTCCATTTTTTTTTGGTCACATTGTAATCTTATTTATTTATTAATTCACAAATATTTACTGAAATCCCAAATGTGCCACACAGAGTATACATTTGGTGCTAGGAATTATGTTGGCAAACGACAGACGTAGGTCCTGCCTTCACGTTGCTTAACGTCCAGTGGTCAGAATGTGTTGAAGTACGGTGGTTGTATATTGGCCTCTGCAGATCTCTTCTACTTCCTCACCTCTCTTGGCTGTGAGAAGGGAATGTAATTTCTGTATAGCCTGAAACAAGTTGTAAAATCTAGTGTTTTACATACTTCTGGCTTCCTGCAGTCTCATCTGGGTAGGTTCACCAGGGCCAAATGAAATTACGTGTGTGAAAGCACATCATAAACTATGTTACATACCTGTGCATTGTTATTTATTGATAGTGTTATTGCAAGGAGATAACTGCCTTGGGGGGAATAAGTTCTCGTTTGCCAGATAGCTACGTATATCCAGCTTTAGAGAGTTCCATGAACTTCTTCCCTCCAACATACTATGAAATATAAACCTAATAGAGACAAAAGCACAGTCAAGGAATTAGTTCTATGTAGACTGTTACTGTTTTATGTGCAGGAGACCTGGGACCTTTCTGAAGAGGTAACATTTAAAGGATAATATAAAAAAAATTTTTTTTTAAAGTAGTACCTGAAGATCTGGCTGGCCTCACTATATGGCTTCCTCTCCTGCCTCTTCTTCTCTCAGAACTATCAAGCTCTTGCTTACCTCTGGGATTTCAAAAGGCTACTTTATTTTCTCTATTAGAAACACCCATTCTCCTATTCTTTCCAGGGATACAATCCTATTCATCCTGTAAATATCATCTTAAATGTTACCTCTTCAGAAAGGCCATCCCTGAATCCTAGAGGCTGGATCAGGTACCCTGGTATACTCTCAGATGGCACCATGTACTTTTCCTTTGCAGCATTTACAGCAGTTTAAATCTACTGGTGTGATTTACATATAATGCCTCTAAGTCTTGCTGAAGTGAAGCTATGTTCAACACAACTCCACTGTTCAAAGTCCTTTAAGGGCTCAGTCTCTTTAACATGGCATTTAAAGCTGGCTGCATTTAGCAGTGGATGTCACAGGAGAGCATGAAGAGACTGAAGATCTAAGTTACACTCTAAGAAGATCTAAGAGTTCCTAGGTATTGGATCTTGGGCAAGTTTTGGGGCCTTTAAGTTTAAAAGGAAGCTACCAACCTGGGATTTAAAGAGGGAAATGACACCAGATTTGTATTTTGGAAACTCATTACATAATTGATCATTCTGACTGCTGCTCTGTGGAGACTGGATTGGACACAAACAAGAGGTAGAGAAATCAATGGGAGGCCGTTGCAGTACTCCAGGCAAGAAACGGTGATGACTTAAGACAAATGATGGCAATGGGGATGGAGAGAGGTGACAGATACATAATGCATGCTGAGTACTTGTACAGGTAAGGATTAGAGTTAATTGTAGGAGCCTCTCTGAGGGCTGAGATCCTTGTTAGATAGGCCAGTGGAACACCTCAAGAGCAGAGAGCCAGCCAGTTTTATTCCAGACAATATCCAGCTAACTGCTATACACAATAGACATTTTTGCAAGTTTCTGGATGATGATTATGGTAGTGAACCTAAAAGTCACCCAGAGTTAGACTCTGAACCTTTTTTTTTTTTTTTTTTTAATTCTTTTTTTTGAGACGGAGTCTCGCTCTGTCACCCAGGCTGGAGTGCAGTGGCCGGATCTCAGCTCACTGCAAGCTCCGCCTCCCGGGTTCACGCCATTCTCCTGCCTCAGCCTCCCGAGTAGTTGGGACTACAGGCGCCCGCCACCGCGCCCGGCTAGTTTTTTGTATTTTTTAGTAGAGACGGGGTTTCACCTTGTTAGCCAGGATGGTCTCGATCTCCTGACCTCGTGATCTGCCCGTCTCGGCCTCCCAAAGTGCTGGGATTACAGGCTTGAGCCACCGCGCCCGGCCTAGACTCTGAACCTTATACTCAGGACAGAGTGCCTGACTTGAACTGCAATGGGATCCCAATAGGAGTCATTAAAGGCCTGGAAAAGTGGTGCCATTAGGGGAAAAAGAAATGATTTCTTGAGCTTGCTCTCAGTTCTCTTTTAGGCTGTCTCGTACTCAGCAGTATAGTGAGATCTTCAAAGGTTGGGGTTTGATAGTGCCTTGAATCATTTTTAACTTTATATTGCCAGCGGAAGAAGCATTCTCTTTTTAGATTTTTTAAAAAATAGAAAGATACAAACATTATGGGTTTTATTTTTGGTGAAATATTGCAAACATACAGGAATAGATAATTATGTAATGAACACTTGTATGTCCACCATCTGGCTTTGTCACATCTTAAAATTATGTTCTATGTGCTCAATTATTTCATTTCATAAAAAATACTCTGATAAACATAGCTGAAGCCACCTGTATACCATTCACCTCCTTCCTTGTAGATTACTATGAACTCGGTGTTTTTTATTCTCATATATATTTTTTGTATTTTTACAGTATATTTATGTGTGCATAAACAATATGTAATTTTACAATATGTAACATACTAGTAACATACTAATTTAAAACTAAAACTTGTTTTTAGTTTACAATATGTTGTAAACTTGTAAGCTAAAGACATATATTGTACAACATATTGTAAACTAAAAACAAGTTTTAGTTTTAAATTAGGTATGTTACTGGGATCATTCTGCAACTTGTTTATTTCTCTCCAGCTTTGATTTTGAGGTTTTATTATCTTAACCTACACTTTTAATTAATCCGTTTTACTTGTGACATGGTATTCTATTATATCATAAAAACTTATCTATTCTGTTGGTTTTTGTTGTTGGTCTTTTGAGACAGTGTCTCGCTCTGTCGCCCACCCTGTAGTGCAGTGGCGTGATCTTGGCTCACTGTAACCTTTGCCTCCTGGATTCAAGTGGTTTTGGTGCCTCAGCTTCCTGAGTAGCTGGAATTATAGGCGTGTGCCACCACGCCCAGCTAATTTTTGTATTTTTAGTAGAGACGGGATTTCACCATGTTGGCCAGGCTGGTTTTGAACTGACCTCAAGTGATCTGCTCACCTCAGCCTCACAAAGTGCTGGGATTATAGGTGTGAGCCACCATACCCTGCCTCTATTCTCTTCTTAAGAGGTATTTAGAGTTGTTATACAGTCTCTTGCCCTTTAAACAGTGCTGGAAGAAACACGTTTCTTGTGTATATGGATGAAAATTTGTTTTACACATTAGATATTTCCAAATTGTTCTCTTACGTACTTCAATTTACATCATTACTCTCCTCCTCTCCTCCCGTCTCCACCCACAACAGTATTCCTCTTTTTCCATATCCTTGCTAATGTTTCTAAAGTTTTGCTTTTTACATTTGGGTCTTAGATCGACTAGAATGTATTTTTGCATATGGGAAGAAGTTGAAATCTAATATATTTTCCAAATGAGTAAACTGTTGTCACAGAACTATTTAGTTGTATTACCTCCTCTCTTGTATATAAGATATATCTACATATGTGTCAGACTGTTTCTGGGCTCTCTGTCCTCTTTAATTAGTGTGTCTGTTTCTGCATCAGTAGCATACTGTCCTAACTTCTGTAGCTTTATAAAGTCTATTGAGTAGGACAAGTTTGTTTCCTTCTTCAAAATTGCTTTGGCTATTCTTGGCCCTCTGCTGTTTCATATTAACTTTAAGATAAACTTTTCAAATTCTAATGAAAACTGTTGATAAACTTGTTAATTAACAAATTCTAATGAAAACTGTTGAGATTGTTATAGGAATTGCAATATATTTATAGATTAATGGGGAAAGATACTGACAATATAATTGAGTTTCCAATTCAGGAACATGTTGTGCCTCTCTATTCATGTCTTTTGAATGTATCCACCAATATGGTTTTTTAATTTTCTTCATAAAGGTTTTACATTTAAAAAATTTTTATTTTTAAGTGACCTTATAGTTTTTATTGCCAATGTGAATGAGATTTTTTTCCATTACATTTCTGTTGGTTATTCCTGAAGTGGTTATGCTTATAATTTTGAGGTGTTGATCTTGTATCTGGCAGCAGATACAAGAGGTGCTCAGAGTTGTTCAGGGTTGCTGAACTCTTAGTTCTAAAAGTGTCTGTCATTTGGGGTTTCTATGTAGATAATTATTTATAAAAACAGTTCATTTTCAGTTCATATATTTCATATTTCTTTAAGTTTTAATTTTTATTTCTAAACACAATTATCCATAAAATCCTAACCCTTTCCCTAGTCAATAGCAGTCACAGCCAAATGTTTTATTAATTTCTATACTCAGTGCTTCCTTTATCTCTTACCTTCTGGGGTTTTTTGTCTTGTTGAAATACACCCTTTAATGCTTCTTTAGTGAAGACCCAACAGTGGCACTCACTCACCTTTGTTTACCTGAAAATTTCTTTATTTTCATCTTAACTCATAGTCTGTCTTTTCTCCAATCAAGAAAGTGTCTTATCATTGATAGATTCTGGTTTCACTATGCTGTATCCAGGGATATATATGTATTTATAGATAGTCAGACTTTCAATCTGAGGACTAATGTACTTTATCCTACAGTATTACCAGTCATTATTTCTTCCATAGCGTCTAGACCATTCCTTCTGTAGTTCTTTTTTAGAGTCCTATTAGATGAGTGTTGGCACTTTTCAATCTAGACATCTTTTTTAAACTATATTTTCATACCCTTTGTCTCTTTAGGTCTGATTTTTTAACTTTTAAGTTCAGGGGAATACTTCATTTTGGGTGAGTTGTAGCACTCACTTCCAATTCACTAATTCTGTTTCTAGTTATATTTAATCT